TATATATATATATATTAAACATATAACTTCCCAATTTGGCGACCTACATGATTCCTTTAAAAAATAATTATAAGTTATTGTGGAAGAGAAGATCAGAACCATGGCACAATTATAATATAAGATCAAAATAATAATGAGTAATAAGATAAAAAAAATCAATCACTTAAAAAGTAAACAAAAAACTAATAAAACTTCTTAAATGTGTTTCATTTGATTTCTCTATCCTAAAATATGAAATACGGAACAACAATATTTTCTATCCCTAAAACTCAGATAAATGCAGATCAAAAAGGACAAGCAAAGGTAAAGACACACTTCTAAAATACTTATCCCACTCTGTTGCACATTGATCATGTTAAAAGCCAAACTGAGAAGGGAAAGACCAACGATCAGTTTGCCCAGACAGACACCAAGTAAAATAGGAAGAAAGTTCAATTGCACATAAAAATAAAAATCCCAATGAAAAGTGATAGGGTCAGCACTTAGAAAATCTTTCATGTCAAGCAGCAAAGATAGAAAAGAAATATATGGTGAATGTTCAAGAACACTAAATTACCACAGAAGGTGCCATTAAAGATCAAAATTATATATATCAACTACAAACTTTGAAATAAAAAAAACATCAACTTTGTTACCGAGTACCAAATTAGTAGAACTCAACAGTGAATGGGCAAGTAATTGTTGAATCCTTTATAGAGGAAAAAGAAATTAAGTTTTCTTTATCTATCTTATTTCAAATTATAATAAAAATAAATAAATGGTTACTTTAGTTTCAGGTTATTCAGCTTGCTCTCTGAAGACGGGAAAAAATTTGGGTATGTAAGACGTACACAGCGCTGCGTACATAATTGAAGTTATATGAATGTTATATTGACATTATAATCGCATTATATCCCTTGCAACCTCCATATAACTTCCATGTAATCTACATGTAACGACAAATATGTGAAAACAGAAGCGCGAAACTTATTTGTAAGTTCAGGTAGGTTATAGGTAGGTTATATAGAGGTTACATGGAGGTTACAAGGAATATAACACGAATATAATGCCGATATAACATCCATATAACTTTCATTATGTACGCAGCGTTGGTTACGTCTTACGTACGCAAATTTTTTCTCTCAAGATGGGACGGAAAGAATCGAAGCAGACAACCCAAAGCCGCTTAGATTGCATGATGAGGAGTGGAGGTGGCGTCCAAGGAATACGCGGAATGACCACAAAAGAAATAGGAATGGTTAGAAACTTGGACTTTTTTAGCCTTATAAAGGTATTAGGTTTTGAGCTTCCGATAATTAAATGAGGATTAAAGAGCTAAATTTAAATTCACATTATTTAAATTAAAGTATTCAATTTAAGAAGAATTAGAATTTTTTTTTTATTTTAATTACTGTTATTGCACAATGTATTATACTATTATATGAATACTATCGAACATAAAATGGGTGAAAATTTTTCGAGGATTGTCAAACATGTCGTGGACGACACAAAGCCTCGGTTGAGGAGGCAATGGTACCACAATGACATGCACCGGAGCTATGAAGCCGGCGATGCAAGCTCCTCCATGAGGACAAAGAGAGATGGGGAGCGCTGAAGAGAGCATGATAGCAGAAATATTTTATTAGAAATTTTTGGGCGGTATATAAGTATTATACACACACGCATAGTGTCATAAATTATATTTCACGTAGTTCTTCTATATTTATGTATCTAATACTAAGAATTTAATATTTATATTTATAATATTTTGATGTCATAAATTGTTTATGAAATCTATATTTTATTTGTAAAAAGTTAGTGATGATATTTATGATGAAATGTTAAAAATTGAGTATATGCATGTAAAGATAAATGTTTAAGGGTCTGTTTGGTTCGACGGAGGGATCGCAGCGGGATGACGTTTTGACGAAAAGCAAACTACGGATGGAACCCCGCGATCCACGTTCGAGTGGAAGCATATTACTCAACCGCCCCTACTCCTCGTTTGACAAACTGCCTCTCCCTGTTCGAGCAAAAGCATATTCTATTTGAGAACTGCGGCAGTGACAGCAAGGGAACTCAGAGACGGCGATGAAGGGGATCGACCTCAGAGTGTAAGGCAGCGTTTGTGATGAGAAATTGCTCGGCATGGATGAAGTGGTGGAGAGGGACAATGTTGGCGCTGAAGAATTGTTAGCATTGGAGTCTGATTACCCGCCTCCCGCCTTCCTCCTTCCGCTTCCCACTCCCGCGCCCGATCGCGAAAGATCGCGATCTCGCTCCCCCTCGATGGCGGAATTGTTCCCTCTCCCGTTTGCGAAAGGACGCGACTCTACCGTTTCGCGAACCGTAGGCCCCAACCGCTCCTGCCTTCCCTTTTTGTGAAGCGAAGCATCTCTTTGCTCCTTCTTGTTCATGATAAAAGCTTTGGATGGCTCTCCTTGGGTTCAGAAGTCACGCATTGAGTTCTTCGGTTTCCTCGGTCTTCGGTTTCCTCAGGATAGAGCAAGGTTTCCTCGGGGCAGAGGAAGAGAAGTGTAAGGAGAAAAGTTCCTTGCAGCAGAAGGAAGAAGAAGGTAGAAGAAGAAGATTGTTCTCCCTAAGCTTCTTCTTGGTGGCTTGTGGCAGAAGAGAAATTGAGTTTATTTCTCTTGTAAGTTTGTATCTCGGTGTAGAGTTTTCTTCGGTGTATCTCGGTATGGAGAGAGAAGAACAGAGAGAGAAGAAGAGAGAGCAACGAAGAGTGAGAGATTCCTCTTGTAAGTCGAGGTGATCGACTGATGTAATTCCTCAAGTAGTAAAATCCTCTGCAACTCCGTGGACGTAAGCAATTTGCAGAACCACATAAATCTGTGTGTTCCGCTGTGTTATTTTTTTTCTGGTGTGACTTTTCTCGTTCTATTTTTCACTTCGTCGATCGTTCTCCTGTTTGATTTATATATATACCACATCAACTGGTATATCTAGATCTCGCAACAACAACAAGATCCGGACGGAGGTTCCGAGGGCAACAACAACAAGATCCGGACAGAGGTTCCGAGGGCAACAACACCAACATGGAAGAGATGGGCTCGGGGACAACGAACAAAGCAAGCATGGGTGGCTCCATCAATTTTTTATTGTTTATAAAGAAAGATTTGCATACTTACCACTACATTCTCTTGTATTTAGAAATTTAGCACCTAAAGTTCAATTTGTATATGTGGAACACCTTATTCATACATGAAAATGTCTATTTCACTTGTGATAAATTAAAATGATAATAATTTTTAAAAGATTTGGGATATGTAAAAATAAAAAAAAAACATTTCATACACAATATTACTAAACAAAGTCAGAATGATAATATGTCCAGAAACAGCTGTCACACAATTGTTTTCACACAGATGCAACAAACATTCAGTCAACTTCTTATTAAACTGCAGTTGAAAAATTGAGAAACTACAACTGCTCCAAACAGACCCCAAGTGTTAGAAATATAAATGCATAATAATTGTGAGTTGTGTAAAGAAAATCCCTCGTGCCACAAGCTAACCAATAATGTAACCAGAGCACAAGTACAACTCAATATTCCAAGCGCCCATACAAATTTCGCGCTCACTGCTTTGCTTCCTCTGAGAGAATGATAGCCTGTCTCTTTCCCAACCTCAATTAAAGCAAGGCCAGTAACCAATTGCCATTACGTTCCCTAACAACAGATGCTTAATACCAGCCTCACTTTCCCCTTAACCTTTCTCCCCTCGTCACCATTCCTCCCTTCTCCCTCCCATGGCTTTCATCCTACTATGATGTTCCTCTTCCCTTCATTCTCCCACCTCAGCTTCCTCTTCCTCCTCCTCCACTTCTTCGCTTTCCTCTTATCCAAGCTCTTCTCCTTCCTCCACCGCCGAGCAATCTCCAAGCGGTCGGTATAGTACGCTCTCTCCTTCTCTGCCTTCATCAGCATGCATTTATATTATTAAAGTTCTGACCTTTTTGGCAGGGATGACAAACTCTGCATTTCTGATCATGAAAACAAGTTCGTCTCTTCCGCCGCCGCCATCTCCGACGAACTTTACCGGAGAGACGACATCATCGCCGATATTATTCTTGGAGGAGACGCCATGCTTTTCTTGTACGGTGCGAGTTGTAAGAACGATGCTCTGCTTGGCGACCAAGAGACAGATTCCAATGACCAGATTCTCCTCGGAGAACATGACAACTTTGTACTCGAATCAGAATATGGTTCCTCTCAAGGAAATATCTCGAATCCTACAGATGGCTACAGTGTCTCTACTGCAACGAACAAGACTGGAACTTCGGATTGCTTGGTATCTTTGGACAATAACAATATTGAAAACGACAAGAATCAGGATGAAGAAAAATCTAGGGTTCATGAAGAAAGTGTGAAAAGTGACCTGAAGAAGAAGGATTTAACGGAGGATGAAAAGCTTTTGGAAGCAGAAGTTCCAAATTTCAGGGTTGAACAAGTTCAACAAGAGAGAGAAACCTTCGGCGGCTCTCTCACTGGCGAATCTACTTCGAAAAGCTCCATTGAATGGAGAAGCTCCACAATTTTTCGTGACTCAGAGACAGAATACCCATTCTCTTCATCGTCAAGAAGGAGCGCTTCCAACTGGGAGTTCTACACCCTGTTTAAGAAATATGACGAAGAAATGTTCTACTTTGATAGAATCAGTGCTCAGAAGCTCGCAGAAACAGGTACAGATCTGCCATTATAGATTTTCTCCGTACCTTTTTGTGTTTGAGAACTAATAGAAAGTTTACATTAAATTTACAGAATCGTTTAGGTTAATCAACGCCCAACCAAGATCAATTTCAAAAAGAATTGTTGGAAAATTAATGGCGAAGCCCGGAAGCAATTCAATGAGAATGAGAGATCCATATCAGGACCTGGAGAGTGCTTATGTTGCTCAGATTTGTTTGGCATGGGAAGCTCTTAATTGGAACTATAATATTTTCCTGAGATCGAAAGGTAATAAATTAGACATGGATGGTTCTGTCTGCCATGCGCGAATAGCACAGAGATTTCAGCAGTTTCAAGTTCTTTTACAGAGATTTATAGAAAATGAACCATATGAATATGGCCGTAGGCCTGAAATCTTTGCGAGGATGAGACTGTCATCTCCCAAGCTTCTTCAAGTTCCTGAATTTCTAGGTAGATAAATAAATTTCTGCTACTTCTGCAATTTTTGAATATGTTACTGTAGCTTATTATGGATTTAAATTCTTTCTCTCCGCTTTAAATGAAGGGTCGGAAGGTGACGAGGAGAATCAGGGAATGGACTCCAGCATTTCATCAGCTGAGTTTCTTTCAATATTAGAAGAAGCAATCCAAACCTTCATGAATTTTCTCAAGGCAGATAAGAAGACGCCATGTGAGAGATTGAAAGCTTTCATCAAGAGGAAGCAGAGCGCGGCAGATCTGACATACCTTCGGTTGCTGAAGAAAATTAATAAGCAAGTATGTAACATTTCTTCCATGAAACTCCGATTTAACTATCGTTTCCTCATTTTGTTATTGATTTAGCTCATCTTTTACTTCCAAAAATCAGAAAAAGGCGAGGATGGAAGAGATTGGAAGGCGGAGGAAATTCTGGAAGAAAAGGAAGCCGAAGGGGGAGGAAGAGATGGAAACTTTTATGGCCATTATAGACATAAAGGTTGTGTCTAGGGTACTCAGAGTGCAGGAGATAACGGAAGAACAGCTGCATTGGTGTGAGGATAAGATGAGTAAAGTTAGAGTATGGGATGGGAAGATGCAGAGAGATCACTCGCTTCTTTTCTTCCCTGTACACTAATGGTTTGTATAATTTTTTCTTCATCTTTTTTTTGGGGGTGGGCTTGATGACTAGATAAAGTGCACTGCTTTGTATATGCAGTCTATTCCTGTAAATTCGATATAAAAAATTGGAGAAATTAGAGGCCAACAAAGCTTCATGGATGCATGTGGAGGTCACATTTTAAGGATTTGGAATCAATGTTTGAGGCAAAAAGATGATATCTGGTTGATTTCTTGATGACAAACGAAAGGGAAAGATTAGGAAGAAAAAGCAAAAGGATGAGGAAGCAGTGGGGATGAAGACAAGCACAACTTTAGCTTTCTTCCACACCTTTACTTGTGAGATACTTCGGCTTTGTCAATGAGGTGTAAGATGTGGCTGGACCCTGCAACAGTGGCCGCCATGGATCTGATCGAGAGGATAAGGGCAAGCTGCCAAGAAATTTCACTAGAAATTTAGAAAAAAGAATAGAAAAATATGCTGTGGGGATGAAGTGGCTTAGCATCATCAGTTCCATTGTGATAAAGCGAGGTTTAAGAGATAATCAAGGCATTGAGGATAGATATGGTTTAGAATATACTAGACATGCGCATCATTCCTTGGTTAGGGAAAAGGTTGAGTTGTGGAGATTCGCTTAGTCATCAAACACTACACTCTGTCTATAAAGTTTAAAACTTGTGCCCAAAATGATCTAGATCTAAATAGTGATGGGATTATTAAATCTTATTTATTTTATTTCTTTTAAAGTTATCTTTATTTTGAAAGGAATATAAAAATAATGTGGACTATGATAAAAAATCACAATTTTGTTAACTGTTAGGTTTAAAAAAAGTCCTAAAACATTTTGTGTTATATAAAAAAATTACCCTTAAATTCTCACATAATTGTCTATATTGTCATGTTTTTCCTAAAGGTGCTAGTTGCTTACTTTAGACATGTTTACTATTGTGGTGGTTTATGAAGTTGATGCTATTCTTTTATTTTTATTTTTTCACTTTAGTAAGTCTCTAGAATTGGCTTTATTGGTTTGGAGTTCAAGGGTTTAACTAGTTGCTTACTTTAGACATTTTTACTAATGTGGTGGTTTATGAAGTTGATGCTATTCTTTTGGTTTTTTTTTTCACTTTAGTAAGTTTCGAGAATTGGCTTTATTGGTTTGGAGTTCAAGGGTTTACATAAACTATTTTGCTGGTCTATGTAGAGTTTAAGGGTTTAAGTGCTTGAATGGTCTTAATTCATTGATGTTCGGACCATATAAACTACTTTGATTGTCTTTATAAAGTTTAAGAGCATCTATATGTGTCTATGGATCTCCACTAAGTGCATTTCAACTTTGTAAATAATTCTTAAACTGCTCAAGGCCCCACTATATTCCATTTGCCCTCTCCTCTAATACATTCATATATAATAGAAATTTTAGATTTGAGAGAGTCACATCAATAGCCACAGTTCACTACTTTATAATATAACTAGTAAAAAATAAACAAGCTTACAAAGATTCTAACCAACATCCTATAACTATGTGCTTAGAGTACCCATGTATTGACCTTCCATGGCAATTTTTTCATGATAATAAATTCAAGTATGGCCAAAGCTCATTAAGAACAAGTGTAATATCTAACGTATATACGTATAACAAGTTCCTTTTATACAATATGATCATGCCTAAAGTATGTCCTAAAATCATAATACTAAATGACAATTCTAATCAAGATTTACTCTAAGGCCTAAGCCTATGTCTTATGAGCTATAAAGTGTGCTCCATATGACAAAACACTTTGTCAACTAAAATATAGAATTAGAGTTAAACCCCTTTATAAAGCTTTTTATTGATTTAATGAGACAATTAACTATTTGGCATGCTTTATCTTAAGTCTATAGATACATTTCAGTTCCATGCACATGTATGCTAATAAGTCTCCAATTAGAAAATATAAACTACATTTTTCTATTAAGACAATATCAATCACTGCTCAAGATATTGAGATTATAGATCAATTGTGTTTATCATCTTTCTTCAACCATCCACTTTAAGCAAGTGGCAGTATACCCTTATTTTTCTACTTCAAATTACTAAGAATCAATCAATGAGCTCCTGCCGGTGATCCCATCCCAAGAGGTCACGTCGACAATCCTTCTATTCGGCCACCACTTCCTCCTCCTAACCTCATGCGATCACGCCCATCTCCCACAAAGACCTCCTTGTTGGACAAAATACCCTGGCAATGTACCCCCCCCCCCCCCTCCCTCTGATTTAGAGTTTCCTTCTATTGACCTTAGGGATACCGAGATCTCCTTGGATGATGTAATTCATGGATTGTTGAAAAGGGATTTTTGGTTGTGTTGCGTTGAATATCTTCACGTCCAGGTAAACGTGGGGTCCTAATAGCTTGGGATGATGTATTTGTGGTATTGTGATCCGACTATCTCTACCATATTAAGATTACCCTTTTTTTGTTTACCCTTGTGAGTAGGGCTGTCAAAAAAGCTCGTTGTTCGCGAACAGTTCGTGTTTGGTTCGTCAATGAGTTCGTGTTCGATTCGTTCGATAAGTAAACGAGACAAACACGAACAAATTTTTTTCGTTCGGTTAGTTAAACGAACAAAACACAAACAGTGATGCGTTCGTTCGTGTTCGAATCATTATTGTTTGAAATATAAAATAATTATAT